ACAAATAAGATTTACAGCAAGTTATCGGATTTTGCTGCCGAAATCGAAACTAAACTCGTGAGCTAGAATTCTATCGGACTATGTATGATGATTGAATCCTAGTGGATCGTATGAGATTTGCCATCGGATATGTTGGTGTGGATATAGGCACGTGTAAAAATTGAGTTTGGTTAGGCGAAATAAATGTTTGCTCTCTAAACAAGATGTCTGAGAAAATCGTTTTTTGTGCATAAGTTGGTGGTCAGTGAGGGTTACATGCTTGGGTTCTGAATTATTCTAAACATCAAAGTATTCATTTGGTTCTGGATGATTAAAGAAGAGAAAATTGTTGATAAAAATCAGCATTTTGAGTTTTCATATGACTGATAAAATACATATACACATAAGAAATAAGCGCAAGTAAATATTCAATATTTTCAATGTAGTAGTTGTATTGGACTTCAGTGTTTTAATAATATTTCCCTGAAGAGGAAGCTTCCATTTCAATAAATAAAATGAATAAAGGAATAACTATAGAAAAAAAAAATTAAAGTCACTGTACATTTATTGCAATGCTTCGAAATATTTTGATTCATCGTTATTTCACTTCCTATTACATATATGGAGACGGGAAATGAATGAGAATTTCTCATAATGTAAAGTACCCTTTTTTCACTCTTAATCATAACTGTTTTTTCTAGCTGCGAGTGGCCGACCGGAGGGAGGCCGACGAGCGACTAGACGTCGATTTGAAGAATAATATTTTAAAAAAAACATATTCGAGCGATTTTCATATAGTTTAAAGATCTCTTGGGCAGAACTTAATCGTCGATCTTGAAGAACATATCCGACGTCCCTTTAAGGTGCTTTTAGTGATGAAGAGAAGAACCGAAGCTTGTACAGAGAACCTTATGCCTCTGTAAAGTTCCTTCATGTTCGATTATGGATTGATTTTCCGGAAATAAGTCATCTTCGGATGACAGCTTCGTCTGACTTTTACTAAAAATAATAAAAGGAATACTCATGGGAGCGGCTAGCCGTGAGTGGCACAGATGTCCATCGCGGCGCGGCGCGGCAGCGGCAGTCAAAAATAAAAGATAATTAGAAAACTCATCAATTTACACGAAACGTTCACTAAAAAATACTCTAGAGGGCAATACTCAATGAGTTTAGTCAATTAGAGATAACAGATTCACTTCACACCAATCACAGATTTGAAAAACCAGAGATTTTTATAATTACCATCGCGGCACTGGTGAGTGGCCGACCGGAGGGAGGCCGACGAACGACTAGACGTTTGTTTAAGTAACTTAGAAGAAGTAAAGTAAATGTAAGGAAATTGATTTTTAATTTCAAATAGTGGGAAGAGACTCGATGAATAAATGTTTGGGAACAATGTTTTTTGTGCTTACGTGTTTGGACAAATGAATTGAAAGTAGTTTGACATGCATGTAGTAGAAAAGGATTAGAAGAAAAGAACGTGCATAGAAGTGGCTTCAATTCAAAGCCAGTTAGATTGAAATCTATGTGGAAGGTTTTATTTAGAAGTCTTTTAATTCTTTCAGAAAAGGGGCAGCGAATCCAATGGATGAGCGCTACTTATTTTTAACTTAATTATCTTGAGAGTGAGTGTGGATATGCTCAATGTGTAAATATGCCACCCTCACACGTCCGCACCATCAACATGGGATCATTACGTGTGTCTGTATCGTCTGTGGATGGGTGAGGGGCGTCCAAGTTTTTGCCCTTAAACACTTTAACACTCTCTTTCAGATCGTGTTTCACAAAAAATTCGTAACCACAGGGTTAAAATCTACCTTTTACTTTTATTTGTTGTATTATTTTTTTTCTGTATTAGATTTCTCTTGAACATTTATTATAATCCTTTTCTTTTCCAACAATTTGTAGAAGAAAAACAAGACAAACATATCTTTTTCATCGGCATAGACAAAACGTTGGCTAATTAAGACCTGTCTTCAGATGATGAAAAGCACTAGATCATCGATAGAATTCACTTGAATAGCTTAATGCCGAACAAAAGAAGGAAAAAGAATAAGTATGATTGATCACAAAAACTACATCAAAAAATATATAGCTGATTTTGATCGATAACATATAAAGTTTTTTCCCTAATTGAAAAAAACAAATGAGATGTTAATTCAAATCATTTCTGATGAATTATTCATAGAAAATTTTGTTTAAGAAAATTCATTTTTGAATCGTCATGATTAGGTTCCTTTTAGAGAATTATCATAACTATGATTGTTCTTTCAGTTTATAATAATAATGTTAACAGATGTATCAATTAGAATAAAAACATTTGGATAGAAATTATAATTGAATAAAACATATGTAGATTTAATTTATATTCTATCGAATAAAGTTAAAGATTATAATCTCATATATCTCAGCAAGAGAAAGAGAGACAGAAATGTAATAGATGTTTCAAGGATATTAATCTTATCACTTCTTTTTTAGTCATCGACAATTTACAGATTATATTTTATATTTGATCTTCATATATGAATAGAATATGAAAATTAAAACAATATGTTTCACAATTTTTATTTAGTTAAATCTGCTCTCGTATTCACATCATCAGTATTATAATTAAAACATTTGTTCATGTAATTATTGAGCAAATAATCGAAACAAAGGAAGTGTCTTTTATTGTGGATAAGTTAGTCAATTTATGAGAAGGATGTCTTTTATTCCTACTCGAAAACTTTCTATACATTTTCATAATACGTTAGAGAGAAAATACAATGGTTCTTGAAAAAGAACTTCAATCTCTAAATCAAAATTTCATATATTCTTTTATCCTACTAGTCGAAATCTATACAATATTTATAGTGGTTTGCAAAACAAAAGATATTTGTGGTCAGAAATTCTTTTGGGAAATCATTGTAACAAGAAAATAAGTACGAATAGAAATCATTTATTTTTATTTTCTCTCTTCAATATTTCTCGATTTCTTTCTTAGTGGAAACTTATTTCACACGGATAAATCAATTATTCAATAAACTAATACAATATATCAAAAACTTAAATTTATTTCCATCGATTCCTCCATCAACAGATCAACATGAACTACGAAATCAAAAGATTTCCACTCGATTATTTATTATTTTATTACTAACATCCTTAATTATTCTTCTTATTTATAATTCATTAATTACTATGACAATCACCAAAACACTTAAAACACCTGTATTAAAACAATATGAAAAGTTCTATGAAAAATATCCTAAAACGTTAACATGTCCGTGTAGGAAAACATTAATCGATTATAAAAGTATTCTTCACATAGATTTTACATTACATCAAGTTTGTCAAAGTGATTTTATAAGCGAAAAATGGATAACCTATTTTTATTACCATCGAATCTTTAATTTAGTAATGGCTGATGATTTTCGTTCGTATGATACATTTATGTTCCACGGATTACGTGTGATGTGTCAATTGATAGACAGAAAAATCTAACAAAGTTTGAAACAATTTTATCTTAATCAATATGTAACCACAAAAATAACATCATCAGATTTATTTAAATCACAAATTCAAATATTCGTTAATCAATTCAAATCATCAATTGTAAATGATTTCGTTCATTCTCTTGGACATGTCAAACTTGCAACTTTCAGTAATACTTTATATTCTCCAGAATATTCAGGTTTTCGTCTTATTGCACAGGTTATTAATGGTATTAATAGTGTAAATATTTTTACGGATTGTCGTTGTACGCTTCCGAGACAATGTTTTACGCCATCATTTATTTACGAAGATTCACCGCTTCACGTATACGGAATGTATCAAGGATGTTTCGTACTTACAGGTCTTTTTGAATCTACTCTTCAATGTTTTTATAATCAATCATGTGTAGATGAACTCCAACTTCATGCCGTATCTTTATTTACATTTCGTACACAAGTATTAAAGTCATCTCTGAAAAGTCGATATTTAGTTAATGATCGAAGAATGGAATTGGTCAAGTGATTATACGAATTATTATAGTGAATGTCAACCGATAGAATGTACCTATAGTTATGAATCGAAGAGCGGTGTTGTTTATATAAAAACAGCAACACTCGGACTCATAGGAGGATTATTTACTACTCTTAAGATTATTGTCCCTATTTTAGTGAAATTTCTCGATTATTTGATTCGACGATATAGAAATGGAAGAATCAGTCCACAGATATTGAATGGCTCTAATCGTTTTCAGTTGTATTCGAGGTATAAGAGTGAGTTTATTCTGTATTATTCTATTATCGTTCGCGTTTCTGAAATATAAGGATATGAGTTTCACATTTTAGTCCCATAGAGGCTGAGTTGCCAAACTTTTTTTAATTGTTTCATATTAATTGTATTCTCACATAGTTTCCGAACTAGAATTTCAAATAGTTAGTCGTAATTGAAGTTGACAATAGCAGTTCTATAATCATAGAAGTCACTTTCAATATAACTCTGTTCAAAAAACGAAATGTCACTAGCCGTAATTCTCGAGATTGGAGGTAGTAAACAACTATGTTTGACTATTACTATTATGGAATAACAAGTGATATTCGTCTCATTTCTGTCATTAGTAACTGTATCATAACGATATCTTTTGTAAATAAATGATATTCATAGTAAAATTAACAGCAATAAAGATTTAATTGAAATTGAACGTTAACAATAAATCGAAAAACAAAAGAAATTATTAAACAAACAAGAAGATCTCGATATAGAAAAGAAAGAAGTCGAATCTCTCATTAAAGAAAGAACTATAATCGATTGGATAATGATTTAAAAAGTAATTCATCTTCAGAAATATAGACTACAAAATTCTTAGTTGATGGTAATCACGAGAAAATAGCAGCTATCAAAGAAAAACAACGACGAGCTATAAACGAATTTGATAAACTTCGTTTATAGAGGAAGAACGCATTGGTTCGTGAACAATCAACGATTTAAAAGCCAAAAATTTAATAAAAATCAAATGGTTTACTAACTATTACTTAACATTATTTTCTTTTCTTTTATTGATTTAACAAAACATTGTCTTTTATGTAAGTTATACTATCTGTTATTTTCCAAAGCTGAGCTAACGGATCATACAATTCGGCACTACTCAAACATTCCGTTCCATCATATCCACCGATCACCAATACTTTTCCATCATGTAGTACAGTTGCTGTATGTTTCCATCGTTTTACATTCATAGAAGTAATCAACATCCAAGTTTGAGTTTGTGAATTATATAATTCACGCGTATTCAACACACCGGAACGACTAACTCCACCAGTCACTAACACACTATCATCTGGTAAAAGTGATGTTGTATGCGATATTCGTGAATGGATCATATTATTGATGCATGTCTCAGCTAAAAATAAGCAAACGTGATGTCATAGGAGAAAACAACGATTGTTACTGGAATAATCACTGCTGCAATTATAATTGAAATACCAACAGTAATCCATATTATGCGTTTCTTTCCAATACTTTCCCGTCTAAAATGATTAAATCTACTTCATTTCTTCTCATGATAAACTGATTAATGAAAATCTTACAACATCATCGAAAAATATGAGTCTGATTCAGTTGTCATAACCATGATATTATTATAATAATCGCAATGAAAATACTCTCTTATTCGAATAAAACTATGGCAGATGAGAATATACTTGTTAGCATCGAGCAACATGTTTATATTGTGAGATTCAGTTTTTGAATATAGTAGCAAAGAAACGGAGAGTATTCGAATTTGTTAAAAATGGTTCAATAAAGTGCGTAAAAGAAGACACATTCTGAAATCAATACAACCAATCTGTTTAGATTGTATTGTGTTTCATAATGCCCTAGTCCTATAACGGCATGATAATCTATATATTTCCTCTAAAAGCAAAAGTTAGCCATTTTGTTTGAGCTGTTTGTGACACTTTAAAAGAAGTGATCATATCATTCCGTATATTTGGTTGTAATTATCTATTACTATCCCCACACTCACCCAACTTTGTAAGACTGAACACTGGTTGTCCACGCTAACACGCACAAAACGTGAAGAGCTATCTTTTAGTATATAAATAATGTGATATTCTTAAATCTATACTGATATACACATAAAATTTTAGCACAGTGATCCTTATAATAAAGACTATTACAATATTTCATTCTGAAACTCTAGTTTTCGGTATGCACCACAAAATATTAATTTACTAGACTATTATGCTATTGTTGAACTAAACGATGTTCAAACGTCGTTTTTTTATTGAGAATATTTTCTTAGCATTCAGGAAAAGACAGTTTTTGAGACTTTGTGGGTGTTATTGGAGACTCACAACGTATTGGTTCTATTGAGGGTGAGGGAGATTGATTGATACAATTGATGATCCTTATTTTTCTCATACATATTTCGCTTTTCTTTTTCGCAGAAGTTGGACAAATGGATGATAGATGTTAATAGGAACAACTAACGTTCGTTCTTACTTTTCAATTCAAATTTTATAGAAAATATCAAATTATTTCCATTAATTTACAGATGCATTTAAATTTAAATTTTTGATTTTCTTTCAAAATCTGTTAGAAAACTCTTGAAAATATAAATTCATTAAGAAAAACGGATCCAATGACGAGAAAGTGAATTATTTCACTTGTGAANAATGTCGATCAAGTGACATTCAACAAGAATTCAAAAGATGGTATAATCAAACATTTATCCATCAAATATGTTGTCACCATTATCTTCAATATGATGATATTGATGGACCATTTTGTTCATGTACTTATCGACCGTACAAATCTGTTTCAACTCAATGGTCATTATTAAAAGCAGTTGCTTATACATTTAATGAGTATTTATATGATCATACTTATGATATTACTAAATTTTTAGCTATTACTAAACTAGCTGATGTCAATCAACAACAATGGACTATTCAACAAGTAGAAGAATATAAAATGAAATATCACATCGCTCAAAAAGTAATAGAATAAATTACATTTTTTTGTCAATATTTTTGTGCTCTTAGAATTGATGATCGTTAATTACATGAATTCAATTACTCACTTGAACTTGGTTAAAGAACGGCTTTTTCTATGCTTCCTTCTTTGTTTTGTGCATGCTCTATTTCAGTTTTCTATCTGAAATTCACTTCTTCTTTTTTAGATACACAAATTAGAGAGCTATTACCGATGAAGGGAACGAAACAAAAGAAAATCGACAAAAAGTTCCCGAGAATGTAGTTAAAAAACAAAAGATCATTCACACAAATACAACAACACAAACAACAATTAAAATAGTTTTAGTTCCTGATCCAAAGGCACCATCAATAATGGAATTGGAACCGGGCCAAATTCATACAAACAGATTATTCGATAATTCAGAATGAAACTGACTGTAACTATACTTGTATTGATTTTCTACTTTAAACCATATCTTTTCATTTCATTTTTAGTCAACTATCGATTTTTGGGTAAAAAGGTAGTGTTGGACACATGCCAATTTGTTTTTGTTACAACGACTACTTCAATACACTCAAGTTGATTGGTGTTTTCTTTGAAGTAATAATGATATCTTTCGCTTTTTGACTCGTTTTCAATAATGCATTCTTCGTTATATTAATTATTTTCTGTTTCCGCTTATAGATGTTCCTTTACCGTGTACTTCGATTAGAAGCTTTCAAATTGGCTGTGAGCCAACTCTATCACCGTCAAGGTAATGAAAAGATAGGATTATTATTCAAATAACTAATTTTTTTTTCGCATATCATTTAGATCCTATCCGTTCAATTGTTACTTCACATGATAACATGAGTTTATTTACTCTTTTATTTAATAATCAGAATAATTATCATTATTATCTATTTTTGCCTTCTTTTCTAGATATATATATAGCCCTGAAGAGTACTATCTTATAAAAGATACGAAACGCGTCGGCGAACAAATTCTGCATTTTTCCATATATTTACAAAGCACATTACTTCAAGATCTTCATTCATTCATTCAGACAAAAGAACAACATCGATTGCTGAAAAGCAAGAGTTGGACATAAGCAGATTACACTTGTCTTTTCGTCAAGAGATAGGTTTGATCTGTTCTCAGCTGGTTCACACCCTCACACCCTCACCCACACCCACACCCTCAACAACTAACGTTCGTTCTTACTTTTCAATTCAAATTTTATAGAAAATATCAAATTATTTCCATTAATTTACAGATGCATTTAAATTTAAATTTTTGATTTTCTTTCAAAATCTGTTAGAAAACTCTTGAAAATATAAATTCATTAAGAAAAACGGATCGAATGAGGAGAAAGTGAATTATTTCACTTGTGAAAGTGAAGATCATCGAAATTCTATCAATTGTTTTTTTAATTAAGAAAAATTATGGAAAAAGTCTTTTGCTTGTAACAATTTCCGTTGAATTCACTTGCTTTATTTTATTATTGTGCGGTTTTTCATTAGATTCTTACAAATATTTCTTCTCAAATAAATTTCATTTCTCTTTTTCCATTCATTTTCAGTTTTTATTTGAAAGAGAATGAAAAAAAAGATTTTTTTCATTGAACAATTAAATCAAATCTTGAGATTCGACTATTTTCACAATCACTAATATAGAGATTTCCTTCGACATCAAATGATAAATCAAAAGGATGAGACATTTGATTTAATTCATTTCCTTTTCCATTCCCACCAACAATAATTTCACCTTCTTCTTTTCCTTCACTCCATCGCATTATTCGATGATTCCAAGAATCTGCTACATAAACTTGACCGTCATCATCAACAAATATTCCCTTAGGAGAATTCAATTGATTCAGTTCTTTTCCTAGACCATTTCCACCAGCAACAACAATTCCTTCTTTCGCATCTTTTCTCCATTTCATCACACGATGATTCCCTAAATCTGAAACATAAATTGATTGTTCATCATCAACAAACATAAAGTGAGGTCTATCAAATTGATTCGTTTGATTTCCTTCACCATTTCCTCCCGCAACAACAATTCCTTCGTTTCCTTTTATTTCTTCCATTTTCCACTTTCTCACTTCATTCTTCTTCATATCACTAACATAAAGAAATCCAAATTTATCTTGTCTTAAGCCAAAACATCCAATATTTTCGATGAGAATCTCTTGTTTTGTTTCATTAAACCATCGAACAACTCTGCTATTCCCTCGATCAGCAATGATCACCGAATTATTTTCTTCATCAACAATCATATCTATTGGAAAATTCAACTGATCAGTTCTATTCCCGTATCCATTTCCACCAGCAACAACTTTTCCACTGTTTTCATTTAATTTCCATTGAACAATTCGATGATTCCCCCAATCCGCGATAAAAATGTTTTGATCTTTATCGAGCAAAATTCTTTGAGGCAACAAGATTTGATTTAATTCACTTCCACTTCCATTTGCTCCCATCACAATTCGAGCTTGTTGTTTCCATTCGTTGAGTTTTATTTCTAAAACCAAAAAGAGAACAAATTGATCTAGTATAGAATCTTATCTCTTAAAAAGTGAACTCATTCTCAACATATTCAGTATCCAATAATTAATTGGGAAAATTCGTATCAATTAAACTATTTTTCTTCTGTCAATGTGTAGAATATGGATATATCTACATTGTTCATTGAATACTTCTCAGATTGTGATTTTTCCTTGATTTGAAAACCTTGTCGCGAAACTCACTTGTTGTTGTTACTTCCATTGACATCGTGGTCGTCAATGTTGTATTTGTCACTATTTAGCAATACAAATTATTTAGGTTAAACATTTTTTAACTTTCCTACTTATACTATTCGATTGTGGTGGACAAATGTTTTCGTTAATCATCGATAATGGATAACAAACAGGCTGATTACTACATTGAGAATGATGAACGCAGATGTGATCTGGATCAGAACATTCTTGTGATAATCCACACGGTGCAAGTTGAGAACAGAATTTCCAAAGAAACGCACAAACACCAATATTATCAGCACCTGCCATCGGAAAACATCCACAAGCACTATTTCTCGAACACGGACTATATGGAATTGTGCTGTCACATGTTTGAGAATTTACTTGAACTATTTTGAAATAAAATTATATTATATAGATTAACAAATACCAAGAAATCATAAACAAACCTATAAAACTAAAATCAAACAGAATTAAATACAAAAAAACAACGAAATATTCAATACTTTAGAAATATCAGAAAGAAACTAGTCAGTATTGTTTTTATCTTCATTCTAAACGAAATTGAAATGAAAAAGTATTTTATAACAAAATACCATTTTCATTCTTCTAAATATATAGTCATCAATTGTAATAATATTTAAAACTTGAAAAAGAAAGATTCTTAATCCTTCGATAATTAAAAAAATGATATCATCGTTTATGCATTGTAATATATAGTTTATCCTATTGCAGAAAAAAACGAACGAAGAAAATTGATAAATTTTCAATCACGTTTTCAATAAAAATATTCGTAGAGAGATTATTCACTTTGTTGATTCTCGATACAGATATAGAAAATCCTATCAGACTTGAAAAGTAAAACAGTTCAGAAAAGTGGATACGTTTTATATAGAACTTCGTGGTTTGTGTTAATAATTATTTCGATATAGAATTAGAACGAAAAGGACTGATATTTTCATTATAAACTACTCTGATTCTGATTCATATCTATTTATCGAATAACCTTTGATCCGAGATATTTCGTTGAGTGAAATCGATTTTAAACTTGTCTTTCTTTATAAAGTCATATTTTATACATCAATTTCATTGCTTAATTCAAACATTTTCAAATAAATTAGTCGTGCAACAGGATCCAACTTTGTGCATGTCCTCGTTTTACCGAATAAATGAGAAATCCAAATATTCCAAAGTGTTTTAATGTTGTGAAATAGAACGTATTATCGGGAGCAGCTCCGCAGCCTTCTCATTGCTCAATAATACTATTCAATACAATAACTAATAAACTTCCACCCTTCATACCACTTCCAATCAATGTTTTATGAAGTTTTAAACATTCTCAGAAAAATAGTGATTTGACCCTTGACCTTTGACCCGCGACAAACAAAAAGACGAATTTCAGTTTTTCGACCACTTTTTTCGACATGACTTTCCTTACAGTCGAGGGAATACAAATATTCAGTATTTGTAGGTATCTATCCATACTGTTGAACCAAATTCAACATTTGTTTCTAATTCATTCACTGATACTATTCCATTTCTATTTTAAAAAAATAAAATCCAATCAAATAAAAAAAGATAATCGACTATGATACTTCTTCGCAGCATTATTATTGCAACCACCTATTGACGGTGACATCTGAATAGATACTTCTATGGAATATCCATAGTAATTCCTTTTACTGATGTTATATCTTCATTCATAAGTGACCATATCAACGAAAATAACCAGAAAGCGAATGACTTGATTCTTTCATTCCTTAGCTTTATCGCGAATGAATTAACACAAAAAAAAGAGAAGAATGGTAAGAATTAAATATCTGAATAATAAGTGTTAAAATGAAATCAGAAGAATATTTTTCTTTATTTTCTATTTTAATTTCAAAAGAAAATATTTAATATTATTCAAATCAGATCAAAAACAAAACTCGTCAATGATAGTTGACAAGAAAAGCATTTTTCTTAATTTATTTTATTCGTATAAACAATTAATAAATAAATCCACTAAAATATCCTTATATTTTTATATTTCTAAAACAATAATAAATGCGAAAACTTCGGACTTTATCCGAAAGTTGTGTGTACTTCAAAAAGTGTATCAGATGGCACACAAAAATCTGAGAATTTTTTTGTACGTTAGAAGTATTACAGTCGGTCGGGCTCATCATCGAACTCGTCTGCGACATTGACAATATACGGCTATGTACTAAATTTCATGAAAATTGGATTATTCTTTCAGGAGTTATCGGATTAACGGCCAGACGGGCCTACTGACCCATTCTATAGTATAATCACTTTTTGAGTACACAAAAACCAGCATGCAAAGTTTGACAATCTTATCTGCCATAGGATCACTTGGATGATAACTCACCGACGCCAACCTTGTCCGTCTCCTTACGAGCTCCCTAACAATCCATCTACCCTTCCATATGCCCACAAAAGTAGTACGGAGGGTTTGGCGTACAGTCTTGACACGAAATGGCGTGGGTGAAATTTCACCCTCACCTACCCATGTCGTCAACACCTATCATCCTCACTAGTATGCGAACAGTCGTTTGATGCTTTCTAGACATATGGAAACAGCATGCAAAGTTTCGCGGCCTTTTCAGTTATAGAACCACTTGGGTGAGACTTCATCCACGCCATCCTTACCCACCCTCATTACTGGTCCACTAACTCTCTTTCGATGTTTCCCTACATTCACAGAAGCTCTATGAAAGATTTCATGACTTTTTCTGATGCAAAATCGCTTGGGTGAAATTCCACCCAGATCTCACCCAGGTCACCCTGGCGTACCCCTTCACTGGCCAATCAGCATTTTTCTGGATCCAAAGAAACAGTACAGAAGGTTTCGTGGTCAGAGCTGATACAAAAAGTGAATGCAAAGCGAACAAGCGGATAAACACACAAATCTTCAAGTTTTTCATATAGGAATTAGAGAAAACTTTACCAAAAGTCTGCAAGAGTACAGCCGATCAGGCTCATCTTCGAACTCGACCGAGGCATTTACAAGATAATGCTACGTATCAAATTTCATGAAAATTGGATTATTCTTTCAGGAGTTATCGGATTAACGGCCGGCCGACCGGACGGACGGACATACTGACCGATTCTATAGTGTACTCACTTTTTGAGTACACAAAAAACACCAGGAAGATCGGTCTTCTCATGCTTGCTTTTCTGACGAAAGACTAAGTGAGGGAACGAAAGAATGGTTGGACTAAAGTCGCTTGAAGTAAATAAGAAGGCAAAAGAACAGAAGCAACTATTCTTATCATTTCAACATGTTTATCGAGAACACGTAAAAAACGATTGCTTTAACGTACTCTTGCGAAAAATCAGTAAAGTCTTGCGAAGTGATTTTAGTGAATGACGAAAAATTCGAGGAAGTATATTGACCAAATAATGATGTAATTTTGAACAGCAAACACGAGGGTGGATGAGAAAGGATTTGAGCTTGTTCCCTCTGCCCTCATCGCGACACCCTCACACCACGCTTTCGTGTATGCCTCACCCTCACCCTCGCCCTCAAGATATGCATCAAGGCCTTTGTCGAAGAAAAGGGTTTTAAGTTGTTCGCATAGGGAGACACCCAGATACGTTATCTAACGAGGTTTTATTGAAAAAGCCACAGTCGAGTAGTATATCGATTTGTATCTCGATATGCATGTCGGTCTGTTTTTCGATAAATTCATCCTTACACACAGGATCTTGAAAAGAAAACCAAGATTTCTATTCAAGATACTATATGTGGAAAAGTAGCTGTTATAAAATGTTAGCCAATTTCTTGGCTCAAATTCGTACATTCCGCCTGTCCAGGAACACTTGTCGTCCATCCAGATTTGCATTGTCGACAATTTATTTGAGCGCGCAATGGGTTGTGGAATCCAATGGGACAGGGTGTTGGCCTTGTTGCAGGATCAGCACAAGAATGACCAGGTGGACACTTTATACAATAGGTCGCTTTTGGCTGGATTGTGTAATAACCTCTGGGACACTTACGGCATTTGGTCTGCTCATACAGATCCGCATAGAAACCAGCGGGGCATGGTTGAGGAAGCTTAGCTGGATTGAGACAGAAATGACCCAATGGACAACGACTGCAGCTCTGTGCACCTAGTGTCGCACTGTATGTACCTGAACGACAAGTTTTGCAGCTAGATTGAGCAGGCCTATCAGTATAAGTTCCTGGAGAGCATGACTGAGAATTCTTATTGTTAACCGGTGCATATTGACCAAGTCGCGCGCGCGAACAATTTGTAGACCCAAGTTTGATATTAAAATGGCCGGGTGGGCACTGACGACACTTCGTCTGCTCATACACATCCGTATAGTTTCCTGGAGCACATGGTAACTGTTGATAACCATCAGGGCAATAAGAACCTATTAAGCAGCGACGACATTGATTGGCTGAGAAGTATTGACCTGGAGCGCATTGAGCGCTGACGGCTCTAATTATATAGAAAGTGACGAAAACGGCTGAGAATATCATTGTGATGTGTTTCTTTCCAACTAACACTCATTTTATACATGACAACTGCGCAATCTAAATTGCAATGCAAATACTGATTCGTTTCTTATCTTATAATGCAAAGTTTTTTAGTGATATTCAGCAAGTTTCAAGTATTATATCTGTTACAGGCATGTACATACACATGCCTCCACATCCTCCTCTCCATCTGTTTCTGTTATCTTCGATACACATTCTCTTTCGCATCGTTTCGAATAAACAGATTGAGATTCGTCGCTCGAGCGAAGACAACGCTAATAATATCTCAAACACTATATGCGCAGGTTTTTTTGTCATCACTGACGATATAGCTGTTGATATCTAAATATAGGAAGTTGGTAAGTAGTATCTCGAGTATAGCGCTTTTTTAAAAGATTATACACAGAAGTGACTTGACATGTTGACTTTTTGATAAGTCATTGATATGCAGAATTTTTTGGATGCTATAAAAAGAATTCGACTCGACTACAATGCTCATTGATCTTCCATATAGGTATGTAATTCCTGTGCTATATTTCGTATATACTAATAACTTCGGTTCTTACATTTTAGCCTGAACAAAAGACGTCAATGCATTTATTATCATTTGTAATTCCTTTTTGCTTGTTTATCAGTGTAGTTGCAAATCTGTTGCGAGGCTTCGATGATGACCTTTGCGATCCGCATACAGTCACTACCGACCATTATCCATCGTTGCTGATTGGACTTAGTGTTCAAAAGACAAGTCCACTAAAATTAAAGGCAACGTTTCGTCTTCCGAATAGTACCAAGCAGTTTTCTTTTGAAGGCATGGTGTTTTCAAATGGTTTCTCAGCTGCAGCTGGAATAGCCGCTTGCCGATCGCTAGGATGCAGCAAATCAACAGGTTTCGTTGCAGTGGCATGGACACAGCAAACAGCCTGTGAGTTTACGTGTCCTGATGGTACAAGTGCGATGCAAAATTGCCGTTATATGATCAGCAACCTCCAATGTTCTGCTGATGCTATGAACCTGTTGGAATGTCTCACCAATGAGCCGTTTTGGCAGTATGGATCCACCCCGCCAAGCTATAACGCTCAAGGGATTGATCTCAAGTGTATCGAATGTGTAGACTAACATTGAAACGTGTGCAAAGAGTATTGTCCGTTTGTCAAAAAAACTTGTATAAGAATTCTTTCTCTCATTTTTCTCTTCAATAATGAGTAGCAGTATCCAAGTGCTAATATGGACTTGGTCTATAAAGCACATCTATGAGAAACGCTAACATCCTCTATTTAGAACGTAAGATATCTTAGCGCCCGATTCAACTATTTTCCGGATTTATTCCTTTAAGAATCCGTTCCAACTTAGGTCTCAGTGTTTCCGAATAGAACTCGACGAGCTCTATCGACTCCAAAAAAAACATTTCCAAAGACGCCCCCCTTCCCGTTGAGAAACCCAAAAAACAGCAAAAAAACACTGAAAAAACACGAAAGTTTTGGAAAAACCCAGGGGGATTTGTTCCTCTACTATATGTTGTGATTCCAATACTAGCTCCAGATCGAGCTCGATGAGCTCTATCGATTCGAATCATAGAAAATTTTCCGGTCCACTCTCATCCATCCTCGTCACCCAACACCCAGAATCACCCCCAAACCGCCCAAATCACCCGCGGCCGCGGGTTTTATTATATGAACGGTCGCCAATGGTAGGTTTAGACGAATCAACATGGTTCATACTACGATTTTGGGTGATTTGTGTGATTCTGAGTGTTGGGTGACGAGGATGGGTGATAGTGGACCGGAAAATTTTCTATGATTCGAATCGATAGAGCTCGTCGAGTTCTATTCGGAACCACTGAGGCCTAAATTGGAACCAATAAATCCGGAAAATAGTTGAATCAGGCGCTGAGATATCTTACGTTATAATGGATACAAACAAGAGTGTTCTTTACTACAAAAGTAAAATTCAATCAATGACTAGACGAGGATATGGGTAGTGGCGACGCTAAGGGCGTGGGTGAGGGCGAGTTTGAACATAGGATAAGAAGGAAGAAATATCAGAAATCTTTTCATTTGTTCACGAGATTATCACTGACAATTCGTTCATAATATCCATAGTGACATGCTTAGATAAACACGAAAAACTCATCCAAAAAGATCATGAAATCAAAGCAGGACTCGAACCCACATCTTCCGATAACCGGTGTGAACATGCTGGTTGAAGTCTTTGTTTGACTTCGATTCTTGTTGTATCGGAGGAGGACCGTTCTCACTCTCAGTTGTGTCTGAATGTTACCCATGGGTGGTATCTGTCGTTTGTCTATTTCCGGTTTCGACCGTGCTCACTGGTCTCATCAGATGGCTTTTATGTTGTTGACACTATTAAGTTTTTGTCATTTTCTGCCTTTCAAAAACTTTAGCGTCAAGTTTCGAGAGCTACCATGACCGGTTGTTCATCGGACTGCTTTATTGAGATATCTAACTGAGGCTTGCTGACTTGGACTAAAGGGTCATAGGTGTCATTCGTATATTATGTTTTATGCTAACCATCTCACGAGTTTTGCGAGGATAAGGATCCTTAGACAACTGCTATTTTAGTGTAAGTCTCACCACGGATGCACGCTGGTCGACTGTTTTCTCAGTCCATGTTAGTGTTGTCTTCACCTGATATGGTACTCACCATAAATAAATATAATCTGTCGGACGACGAGCTTGAACATTGATGTCAAGGGATATGTACACGTTTTCTCATGAAATAGCTAATCACAATTATCACGAGTTCGCTTTCTCACATACTATTCGAGTTTGATGGTCGATGCATATGAACCATGCTTTTACAGTATTTGTCAAAACAAAGAAAAGTTCGATTTATTTCTCCTGTTTGAATGACAAAAAACAGACAAAAAGAATGACACTAAGTGAAGCTTGCTCTTCCAGTTTTCATGCGGGCCACGAGTTCGTCGACACTGTCGCACCTATGAAGAAAGAGAATAGCATTGAGCTCTGTTGTACCACAAGACTAGTCATATCTGAGACAAATGTGTGAATAACGCTTACGTTTCGTCGATGATACGAATGAACTTCTTATTCGGACGAGGTGGAGTATAATCCACGCGTAGATCGATTATAGCCAAACGTATAATCAACGATGCATCGTGTTCGTCGATGAGTGCTTCCCAGTCGAAGTTGATTGGCCGACGGGAAAACGGCAACACGAACTAAATTGACCAATATCAATATGATTTTCTTTGCTTTAGATTGCAAATCGTACTCAAGCAGGACATGTATCACTTGCCTTCTTCTCTTTCGTGAAGACAATATGAAGAAGAAAATCCTTGTTTCGAATGATTTCCTGTATCTAAATGCAAACCAAAAAGATCAAGTGCTGTGTAGGCAGTACCACAACACGTATGCATACCTCCCGTTGTTTATGGAGTGCAGCGATTTTTCTTCGAACCGATTCGATGTCGTAAGATGACATTGTCGAGTGCTAGATGAAAATGATAGAAATCTAGAACACGAAAAGTCATACTTTCTTCTCGGATGTGTTAGAAAATCTTGTTCGTCACACATCAAATATCGTTCTTTATTTTTTATGGAAGACAAAAAAATAAACAAACGATATCATCAATATCATTCTTATAACAATAAACGTGACACACTAAAGGTGACAACAACAACCAAAGTGACAATCATAAGGGAGAGAATTTT